GGAAAAGTACTTTTTCCTCGTAAGCTCCTCGTAAATTTACTAAGGTCTTACGAGGAAAGTGTTTCCTCGTAAGTTTTCGAGGAGCTTACGAGGAAATTTGCTTTCCTCGTAAGATCCTAGTAAAGGCTTAGTAAATTTACGAGGAAGAATTTTCCTAGTAAAATTTCCTAGTAAATGCTTTGTTTTCTTGTAGTGTACGTACCAATTTGTTTCTTGAATATGTGACCCCTTAATTAACTTTGTAGCTTGTATACTCTTCTTTTCCAACGTTAATAGCGTTGATGTATCTCTTCATTGTAATCAACTAATTAATCGTTGATGTAACTCTTCATTGTATTCAACTAATTAAATTAATTAGTTCTTAGTTTACAAAAAAAAAATGAATTGGTTCTTGTTTGTTTTATTCTCTTTGATTTGCTTCAGTAAGATCAAAGCCCTAATGATGACTTTACCAGTAAAAATTTGTGGTTCAACAATGATAATATCCCAACAATTCAAATACAGTTGTTGCTTCTAGATTATGAAATTTCGAGGATCATTTGAAGAGTTACATAAACAAATTTCATTATCGTAGATGGTGAAAACAAAACCATCTTTTATCATGTATAAATGAAACGATCTAACATAATCGTGATTTTTTTCTTAACCATGAAACATAACCATCAAAAAATAATAATAATAATAATAATCGTGCTTTTTTCTTACTTTTTAAACAAATAGATAAATTTAAATTAAAAATTTTAGTTTTAATTATATTTCTAAATTTTGGGTTTATAGAAAACAAAACCATCTTTTATCATGTACAAATGAAACGATCAAACATATTCGTGATTTTTTTCTTACTTTTTAAATAAATATTAAATTTAAATTTCAAATTTTAGTTTTAATTATATTTCTAAATTTTGGCCTTATAGAAAAGTTAAATATAAAAAGAATTATTAATTTTTTAAACTATAGTATTACTTTTTAAATATATAGTTAATATATTTTAAACTTCGTCTAAAATAATTTGATACAGAGCTGGGTGATGAAAACGATAACAAAACAACAATCCAAAACCTTTGAATGAACTGAACAAAAATATACTCATAGAGTCTGACTGACTTATATTCTTCAAGGTTACATTACTTGCACGTGCTAACGTGGTCTGATACTTATAGAGTCAGGTACATCTACTGGATATGACTCAATGAAGTCGAGCCATTTGTTTCCAGTGTCAGGCTCCACTTCTCTGATGCATCTCCACACCGCACTGTTACACTTAAACCCACTTCCAAAAGCAATCTGCAACACCCTATCTCCTTTCTTCACTCTCCTTTTTGCTTCCAAGTAAGAGAGTGCATACCAAACAGACGAAGAAGAAGTGTTCCCAAATCTATGAAGAGTCATCTTTGAAGGCTCTATGTCTTCTTTATTCAAGTTCAAGTTCATCTCCATTGCTTGGATCACAGCTCTTCCTCCAGTATGAATACAAAAATGCTCAAACGCTTTCTTGAAGTTCGGTGAATAATAAGAAGGCCTCCTCGGCTTATAGATCTTGTAAAGAACGTATTGTAATAGCTCTTTGTAAGGTAACACCAAAGGGCCTAGAGAAGTTAGGTTCATCTTTAATACATCTCCAGCTACGTTGATTACATCTTTGGTTATGGACACTCCTTGCTTTGACTCAGAGTCTATGTCTTGATAGATACATCTGTAAGCTCTATCATCTTTGGCTTTGTTTGTTCTCACAACATGCAAGAGCTCATACTTTGCGTTTACTTTGTGGTTTTCATCGCTAGACATCAAAACAGCAGCTGCTCCCATTCTAAAGAGACAGTTTGTAAGAAGCATAGATCTGTCTTTACCGATATACCAATGTGTGTTCAACGCTTCTGTGCTGAGAATAAGAGCCAAGGAGCCACGGTGAACTTTTAGCAAGTCGTTAGCTAAAGATACCGATAAGATCCCAGCTGCACAACCCATCCCTGAGAGGCTAAAGCTCTTGATATTGCTTCTCATGTGGAACTTGTTGATCACCATTGCGGTAAGAGAAGGTGTTGGTGCATGTAAACTACAGTTTGTTATCAGTATGTCTATGCTTCTTGGACTTAGTTTGTTTCTCTTGAGGAGATCATCAACGGATGTGAAGAGAGTGGTCATGGTTTCGGTTTGGACCGAGGTGAGACTTTTCTTTAAAGGTATTTCGGTTAGGGAGAGGGGAATGCTGGTTTGGTTGCTTAACCAGGATCTCTCAAGAACCCTGGCTTGGAAATCTATACTCTCTTGATCTATCTGGTTGGCTAAGTAGATGGTTTCGAGGAGAGTAGACATTGGGATGCGGTTTGAGTCAGGGGAACGGTAACAAGTGAAGTCAAGTAAGTAGACTTTGACTCTTCTCTTAACTCTTTGGTAGATTAAATGCAAAACTAGGAAACTAATAAAGATCTCAAAGATATAACCACTTGAGCTGAGAAGTGTTGTCAGCTCTGACATGGTCAAAGTGATTGTTGAAGCTTTGTCTATAGTTTGGTTCATTTCCCTTCGTCCTTTAGAGTTTAGTTTTTTTTTGTCATGGATTGTTAATTAGCCCACTGTAGTTGTTTACATTAAGATGTAATAGAAAATGAAATTATCATGTGGAAGTTGTTGCTGAGGATTTCACTGCGTTAGGTAATGCTAACATGTTTCAGCATTGTTTGTGTGTGTTTTTTTTTAACAATTAGTCTCAACACGTCTTCTTGCTTGTCTGATAAGTTAGGTTCTAAATAGGGTTGTGTCTTGAGGGGTTAAGGTTTAACCAGCCATGTATTGATTAGTCTGTCTAAAAGACTTTACTTCAAAATTTTGTGTAAATTTCCTTGAAGGTTGGCAAATAACACAATAAACGGAGTTTCCGTGCCTATCAAGTTTCTTATACATTGATCGTGGCCTCATGCAAGTCGCTACATAGAGAGCAGAACATCATGCTTTTCAGGCGCTTGATGACACAACAAGTAGGTTACGGCAATTACAGACATTGTAGATCTTTGGTTAGCTTTGGCAATAACTATGAAAGTGAAAAGACCTAACACATGATAGCATGAAGACGTAGAGGTATTAGATGGATGGGTTTGACTTATCATGAACAGTCTTTACACGGATCCACAACACAACATGATTGAATCAATTGGGTGGGCAAAACCATTAATATTTTGAGTTGAATGCATTCATCTTCTTCGCAGTATTAATCATTCTAGAGAGTGTCGACGAGGTGGACCGTGATTAGTTCAGACAACGACTTCTACTGTTTGGTTACACTCTGTTTTCGTCTGTTATGTATCATATATAATAATAAATGTTTTTCAAAATAAAATCTCTATGTTAGTTTCATGCTAGTGTGTGGCGATTCATAGGCCTTAAAACGATGAAGAAAGTTTAGAACATCGCCTAGTAATTTTATTGAGATCTTGATCTCTTGAACAAGCCTACTAACTTGATTTAAATACACATGATCAGCTTTAAAATAATCAGTATTATATAAATAGTTTTGGTCTTAATTAGAACATGTAATAAGTCCACATGGAAAAATACAAAAATAAAACAGAGTAAATGAGTAGGAGGACTTTTCCCCGTCTTGTTGGCTTTGTAGAATCATTCATATCATCATCATATGTAGTTTTCATCTCATGGAGCCCTTATGTCCTCTTCTACGGGTTATATATAATAACAAAAATCTTCTGTTCTTTATGTTGTTGATTCACTTAACAATATCAGTGTGAAACAAAGTTTGCACTGTTTTGATTTTTAGAAGAATCAGGTGATCATTATCATCAGTGATGATGTAACAGTACAACCGTCGTTGTTGCCTTCATTGTGTGGGTTACAAGATATAAAAACAAAACAGAAAAATGAAGTTTTCTTGGGGACCATGGAATCAGAATTGCATGTGCCTTTTGTTCACTCATGTAACACAAAACTCACACTTAAAAATGCCAGTCAAAGCCCATCAAAACCTCCTCTTTCACTGGCTTTTCTAGTTAGCTTTTTTTTTTTAATTTAATTAATACTTCTAAAAAACAAATCATAATCACAACGTAAAGCAAGATAGATGGTCCTCCTAAGTAGAGACTATAGACACAACAAGATCAAAATAATAATGTAACCAAGAGAAAAAAGACAAACAAGCAGAACAAAGTAGCCCAAGTATACTAGAAGATTGAAAATTAACATAGAAGAGTAGTGTGACATCACAATGCTTTCCCAGTTATGTTTTTGTTATTAATTTAATTAACACATCTAAGAAACACATCATATAAAGGAAGACAAATGGTACTTTTACGTAGAAATTATATGCACAAAATGAGGATCATTCCAAAATGTAATATAACCAAGAGAAAAGGACACATAAACTATAGCCCACATATCAGAAGTTCCTCTGCCTTTATTAGACAATAATTATTACTAACACAGAAGAGTAGTGTGACATAACAATACTTTTCCAGTCAGTATTTTTTTTACTAATTTACTTAATATTTGTAAGAAACACACCATAATCACAACATAAAGCTACACAGATGGTCCTAAGTAGAGATGATTGATACAAAACAAGGACTAAAAATATAATGTAACCAAAGAGAAAAAGACAAACAAACTGAAGAAAGTAGCCCAAGTATCCTAAGTTTCTCTCCCTTTATTAGACAAAATACTGATAATTAACATAGAAGAGTATAGTGCAACATTACAATACTACTAGAATATGAAAAAGATCATTCATCAACCAATGTTCAAGAACACCTACAATGATGAAAAGATGAAACTAGCTTTAATGTATCTTTCTTGTTTAAGATAAAAAAACACTTATTATAAATCTTTCAGTTCAAGTTCAGACAGCCAACAACGAAGGAATTGCATCCAAGTTTGGAGTTGTGTTCTTGCTTGTAGAATCTGAAATTGTTCTTCCTCTTTTACCAGAGGAAGAAGATGAACCAAAAGCTCTCATTGGACTTGCAAAAGCCCATCCCCAGCTTCTGTTCCTTCCACCATAAGCCATGTTTTGATGATGATGTTGTTCAGCTGATGATGATGACGAGGATGAAGATGATGATGGAGTCATTATCATAAACCCACTAAGAGCAGCTCCATCCATTGGAACCCCTCATGGGTTCTTTAGCTTAATTTAAGAATAAAATAGTTGATTTGAAAACCTAAGAACTTTAGTTAGTGATAATTAATTTTTTGACCTCCAATGGAGAACCTCATAGAGGTTCTTAATTTTAATTTTTCTTTTTAAGTAAAATGATTTAAAATAAAAACATACATAAAAGAAAATCTTGAAAACAAAATTATTTATGTTCTAATCCAGGAACTGAATTCACGGGCAAAATAACATAATCCGAACCTTCACGTTGATGGAATGGACGAAACTGAAATTGGAAGAGAACATCGATGACTAAAGAAAAGCAACAAACATCATCTCCATTGGAGATTTCAACAGAATCGACGACGGCGAGAGAGACCAACCGAATCAACGCCTCTGGACAACTCGAAGAAGAGAGCGACAGAAGCAACGACGAAGCAACGGATCAAACTTGATCTCCGATGGAGATTTCGACTGAATCAACATCGATTCATCGTTGAGAGAGAACGGATTGAAGTTTGATAATGTCGAAGAAGAGAGAGAGAGACCAACAAAAAAAGAGGTTTTTTTTTCCCTTCGTGTGAAAGCGTGGAAGCAACATAGAGGTGACACGTAAGGGGTTTTTACTAATTCTCAAACCTCTATATAAGACAGCGGTTCTACACTTTAATTGCATTTTTGATTTATTTTTTGGGCTTTTTTCTTTAAGACACCCCTCCTGAACCTCCCGATGGAGGTGGTCTAAAGATCCCACCACATCTCACAATCTGATCCCTCACACAAACATTGCTACTACTATTACTACTAACCTTACCTTTATTGTTGTTACCTTCTCTTTGTGACTCAACTCTTCTCAAAGTACAATCTCCAAACCCATGTGTGATCCTCTCAAAAAACTCCCCAGAGAAGCTTCTGCTTCCACACCCGACAGATCTCGATCTCGACACTCTCCTCTCGCTCCCTGTCACTGTCGTAACAACATCTTCCTCTACAATCACATCAATGCCGTCTCTCTTACTACTCTCACCTCCATTCACTCTCTTTGACCCCGAAGTTCCGACCGTCCTTGTCTCTGTTTCCGACAAAGCCTTTTCAGTATGTTTTGTCTGAAAGTTTCCCATTTTCTTGCTGCTGCTGCTATGTTGTTTGTAAGAGTGAATATGCAAAAAAGACCAAAACCCGTTCCTCTTTCTCGGCGTCAAATCGGAACCACCGTACGCGGTCGTGGACTGGCTTCTCTTATAGACGATATTCGCCATCTTCTTCTTCTTGTTCGCCAGCAAAAACGGAAGCTTGTTCTTGTTGTTAATGTCAGTGACATTATTACTGGCTCCGGCGACGGAGAGGGAGAGATTTGCGGCGGAGACGGTGGAGCTACGAACAGAGTCAGATCTGAAGGAAGGAGAGGAAGTGGAAGAAGAGGAAGAGAGGTGGTTAGGGAGAGGGAAAGAGGAAGTGACGAGTTTCCCGAGCTTTTCTTGGAGACAGAGAGGACAGATCCCACCTGGGTTCTTTGTGAATGGATGGTTTATGCATTGCATTACATCACTCATGTCTTCTTGAACCTTTGCTTCCACCATTGATGATGATAACAAAGACTTTTCTTTAGTTTCTGTTCTTTTGTGGATTATTGTGGATGACGTTTATCTGTTTCTGTGTGTGTGTGTGAGAGAGAGAGAGAGAGAGAGAGAGATTCACGGCATGTAAATAGCTTTCAGGTTTATTTGTTCTCTTCTTTTGAGAGAGAGAGAGAGGGGGCTTGAGAATGAAGAAGTAGGGTTGAGTAGAGACTGGAGAGAAGAGAGGGGGTTTGAGTTCCCAGGTGCACGTGGTGTACTCTGACTTCGTCGTGTCCTCTCTCTATCTATCTAGTAGTCTTTTTCTTTTTATTTTGTTTGTAATAAAATATTAACTCTTCAAATCTACCAAAAGGTTGTCACGTCTCAACTCTAAATTACACGTAATCACATTTAGTATTATATGATCCTTAACCATTTTTAAAATATCGTGATAAAAAAAAACCATTGTTAAAATATCTAAGTGCATCTCCAATCTATAACACTATTTTGTGTTAAAATTACATTATTTTAATATAATATTAGTATATACTAAATAAATTTATCTCTATTATAACACTAAACTTAACTCTAAAAACTATTTTATGTTTTTTCAAAAAAAAAGCTATTTTATGTTTTTATATTTTTATTTGTTAATTATTTAATTATATAATTTATTAATAAAATAAGTGAATAGTATTTTGATGGTATAAATAGTGTTTTAATGTAGTGAATAGTATCACATCAAATCTGATGTAAAAGTATAGTGTTACATTAAAATAGTACTTCATGAAGTTTATTGCTAGATTAAGAAGGTTTTTGTTTTGAAATTACACAAAAACTACAGTATAACCTCTATAAATTATTAAACTCTCTAAATTAATAACGGTACCAACTTGGACAGGTTCAAAATTTGACACAAATCGATAAACTAATAAGATAAGACTTTTTAGAAAGTTTTATGTAAATAAATGATCCCACTAAAAATATAAATTAATAATTTATATTTAGAGATATTTTATATAAGTAAAAACCTATTATTATATTATTTGTTTTATATTTACAATTGAATTATCATTATATTTACTTGACACTGAATATATTGTTGATGAGATTTAATAATATTATATCTAAACCCATATTTAAATTCTATGAAATATATATTCTATACACCAAATAATATAAGAAGTTTAATATAAATGTCAAATTTCGAAAAAATAATAAGAAATATCTATACACTAAAATAAAATATTTTTTTCCAATTTTAGAATAAATATATCTTTAAATAAAAAATCTAAACAAGGAAAATTTGGTAAATTAATATTTCTATAAATTAATAAAATTTCAAAATCCCGACGTTATTAATTTATAGAGGTTTAACTGTAGGTGTTTTATCCGCATTTGCATGCATAATTCTCTTATGAATATTATTAATTGATGTTTTATTAATTTAAAAATCAGCATAATAAGTCATTATTAATTTGCAAAAAGTAAAAATCAAATATCAAATAATTATCAATGAAGAAACTCAAACAACAGAAATATTTAAAAGAATATATTTCAATAATTGTTTTTCATGATTTATATTTAATTATAATATTTATATCTTAAAAATATAATGCATAAGTTATTTATTTTCTAAAAATATAATATGATAAATTTCTTAATTATATAATAATTATATAAGATTATATAAATTATAAAAAATTAGCTAAAATCATAGAGAAATTAATGAATCAACAAATTACTTCTTAAATAATTTTTCTTGAGTGATAATTTATATTTAATTAATAATAGATAAAGTTTCTATTTTATTTAAATTGTATAATATAAAAATATAATATATAAGAATTATCTTATTTACTAAAAGTATAATATTGTTAGTGTAAATTTATTTCAATTATAGAATAACTACAACTTTTTTATATTAATTTCAATTCTAAAAGAAAATAATATGATACTATTAATATAAATTTGTTTTATATATATAATAATTATATATATAAATTATATAAAATATGATAAATTATCAAAATTACCTAAAATCATGAAAAATATGACAAATAAGCAAACAATAAATTCACTTTTTAAATAATAGTATAGATTTCTTACATGTTAATTTTAAATTTTGTAATAGAAAATACATTTTCAAGATAACAACATAATACATAATAATTAACTTATTTTTTAAAATATCATATTATTAATAGAAATTAGTTTAAATTATATAATCAATAATAAAAAAATATAGATATTCTAATAAATGATTAAAATTACCTACGATCATGGACACAAATCAACAAATTCACTTTTAAAATAATTGTTTTGATGATTTATATTTAATTATAATTTATATTTAATTATTAATAATATAATTTTTATATCTTAATTCTAAGTTTTATAATAGGAAGATATATTTTCAACATAATACATAATAATTATCTTATTTTATAAAATATTAAATTATTAATATAATTTCGTTTTATTTATATTTAAAAATTAAATTATTAATATAAATTTGTTTTAGATAAATATAATAGTTTTTATATCTTAATTTAAAATTAATTTTTATATATAAAAATATATTTTAAGATAACAACATAATTCATAAGAATTATCTTTTTTTTAAGTGATATATTTATATAAATTCGTTTTGTTTATAAATAAAATTACCTAAAATTTTGGAGAAAATGATAACTAAATAAATTTACTTCTTAAATAATAGTATAGATAGAGTTTTAAGGTTGAGTTGGAAATGACCTAAAGCCATATCTCTGTTGCTTTCTAAAGCCGTTGGATCGATATGAGGATCCTCAACATGCACATCCTTCATCTATTTTTTGTTTTGTCTTTATTTTAAGTCTAAAGAGATTGGGAAGATGTCACGCCACCTTACAGCACACTACCTACGAGCTAAGTGTTTTCTAATTTTCTTCTGATTGATCATTGATTGACTACATGGTTATTATTTATATTTAAAAAATTTATGGTTATTTATATACTTTATAGGTTGTATATTGACGAGTGAATTATGGACGTAATAGTAAAATAGAGAAGCTATACGTAATAGTGTAATGTGATGGAGAGACCGAGATGGATTAAAATAATTTTAGCTGTCTATTACATTAAAGGCTATTCTGCATGGACAGGCTCGCAAAAGCCTGAACTCACTCGTCCATTCATCACCGTCACTTCATCTGTTTTTTTCTTTGTCGTTATCTTTTTCACTTGTTAGATACTCCTCATGGCACGTACCATCCACCCATATTCTTCATGATACAAAATTGTGGATCAACATCTCCAATTAATCACTCTATTTAAAGAAAATAAATAAATATTTTTCAATATACCATTAAACTTAATCAAAATACACTATTTTTACAATTTTTACTATATTTTTTATAAGAGAAGAATCCAAATTTTGAAGCTTTGTGATATTATAGAATTATGTTCTGTTTTAAAAATACTTTATTTTGAGTACAATAGAGTCGTGGAAAAAAAAGATTATATACTCTACATAGAATAAATTCATTTGTACCTTTTTATAGAGTGAACAATATAGTATTTTTAGTACATTTTTATTTTAATTATATTTTACAATAAGAATGGAGTGAGATTGGATGCTCTCAATAAATGTTATGGTCCGAATTACAGAACTTTAATGAAATTCAAACAAAGCATTCCTTATTAGATTAATAATTTTAAAATATTTGTCGAAACCGCTACTAATCTTTTTATAATTTCTATATAATTTTTAAAATATAATTTTGTTTAATCATTCAACTTTATTTATGAATATGATTTCATAATAATTAGTGAACTTAAAACATTTTTCTATACTCTCTCCATTTTATTTTAGTTGTTCTTTTTGGTTTGGATACACAGATTAAAAAATTATTTAATTTTATATATTTTTAAAATAAAAATATAATTATCAATAAACCTAATCATATTCTAACCAAAGAAAAATAAAAAAAATAGATAAAACTAATAAACTATGCATTCAAATTATAAAACAACACTTATTTTGAAACTAATTTTTTTTTCTAAAATGAAAAACAAAGTGGAGCGGAGGAAGTATTAAACAACAATATAATTAAACAACACATAAACCAATAACATTCTTCGTATTATTCATTTCCCATCCGTCGACAATTTCGAGTGATGGACAATATCCTAAACTTCAGGCCCATATAAATTTAAGCCCAAATACTTTTCCCGCGCAAAAGCAAATGAAACCTAAACTAATAATCTTCCCTCAGAAGTTTTCGAAATCATCCCGCCGGTAAAAATCCAAAAAAATGACCGTCGCCGCCGAACAACAACCTCTCACCGATAACGACATCATCCGCTTAGCTCAATACCACCACCACAACAACCAAACCTCCCTCTCCCTCCCTCCCTACCTCCTCTCTCCAACCTCCCACGCCCCCCTCCTCTCCCACCTCAAATCCCGCTCCTCCCTCCCTTCCCCATCCAAACCTGTCTCCGATTACGTAACCGCTCTCCTCTCCCTAATCTCCCTCTCCCCAACCACTCCCTCCCTCTCCTCCCTCCTCTCCTCTCTCCTCATCTCCTACACCAAAATCTTCCCCGAAATCCCCACCGATTCCGATTCCCTCAAAACGATCCGCCTCTTCGGAACGCTCTTACGTCACCTCAACGTTAACGAGATCAAATCCGTCGTCGATTCGATCTTATCGGCGGGACTCTCTGGAGTCGTAACCGTCGATGACGCTCAGTTGTTCGATCTATTGCCTATATGCTTCGATTCATTGCGTAGTAGTAGTAGTAATGAGATTGAGTATGTTAAATCCGCGATTGATCGTGTACTCAACTCCGATTGGGAGAAAGGATTCGTTAGGAAGATTGTGGAATTAGCTAAGGAGTTGTTGACGTTTTTGGATAAAGGGAGGAAGAGTGAGTTGTTAGAGAAAGTTTTTCTAGGTTTCGAGAGTGTAGATTTGCAGGATTTGCCTTCGTTTGTGTATCAGTTGCTCGTTCTCGCTTCGAAAGGGTTTTGC